CGCGCGCGCATACACACACACACACAAAAAATACACGAAACTGCACACATACATTGTTCGTCGATCGGTGGATTCACAAAGATACCTGAAAACTTTTATTTTCCATAGACAATCTCGATCCCGACGTATCGAACGTCGGATTACTCGGAATTCGATATCCGCGTGCCAAGGACGAAATCGTGATCAATCAATCGATTGCCAGGACCAACAGCGAACAGAGCTCGGTATCGGTAATTATCGATTGAAAAGCGACCATAAATTCTTGTGAATAGTTTACACGCGAGAAGTGATGGCCGCGTGGGTCCCGAGTCAAAGCCCGGAGAGAAAATTTCGTTGCGGTCATTGGGAAAGCGAGTTTTTCGATGCGGGCTTTCAAGAAAACTGAATTTTACCGAATCTCCCGCGGCGTTTGATCAAACATCGATTGCTAAGCGGAATTCCACATATTTCGAAACATCTCGCCCAAGTATTACCGCGTCTACTCGCGACGATTACGGCGATTTTCGATCGCGGCGAGATCAAAGATGAAAATTGAAAGTGACGAGGAGCTGGGACTTCAATCAATTGATTCGAAATTGGATGGATTCGAGAGCGCGTTGGACGTGAAAGCGATAAAAATCCGGCGAGTTCTCGTGTGAAAAAAGAAAGAGAAAAAAAAAGAGAGTTACGAGGTTTCTAATTTTCGTGGATATTTGAAAATTACGCGACTGTTAGATCTGTGCACGTCAGGAATGTTTCGATATAACGTTTCAAAGAACCAGGCGCGTATTTTCACGTTCTGTAACCTAAATCGCGACGATTTCCACGATTTTCGATCGAGATCGAGGTTAAAATCTCGGAAGATTAAAATTGAAAATGGCGAGCTGGGGTTTTGGCGGGTTTGAAATTCGATAGACTCGAAAATGTGCGGGACATCGAGGCGATAAAAATTCTACGAATTCTCTCGAACGCGAAAAAAAAACGGCCTTCGAGAGAGTTGCGAGGTTTCTGATTTTAATGCTTAAGTATACTATGGATATTGAAAATAACGTTGCTTTGTTTCAAATGAAATTTTAATAACACGTAGTTTCTTTGAAACATCGTGTATTTAATCGAAACAATTTGCTTGCGATCTTATTCATTTTTTTTTTTTTTCTCTTCTTTTTAAATTTGTAAGAATTATCAATTCTGAAATTGAAGAATTTTTCAAACGAATTGTTTTTGTTAGGTAAAATAATTTACGTGTAAAAAAAATTGTCTCGGAAAAGAAGACATCCCGAAAATTCCAAGTGAAAAATTTGTTTTCAGTAGTTTCAGCATTTTCCTTCATATTATAAAGAAATCAAACAGATATTTCGATGTTCAATGAAATATTTAAAACAAAAAAAATTTCTATTGATTACATTTTGTTTCCATTTACATCAAAGATTCAGGAATTCTGGAAATGCAACGGTCTCAAGTTGAAAAATCTATTTTTAGCTTTCAAAACTGAATTTTCAATACAAATTAAATGCACCACGGTTTTTTATGCACTTTTAAAAAATTCGACAACATGCACATCGACAGAAAACGCATAAAGGTATATAGAAACATATAAAATATACAATGTATACTTATAATAGCACACGAAACTAGTTCCCATAAATCCTTTTTCAATTCTGCTCGTAAAAATCTAAAACAGTCTGCTCATAAATGATTAAAGGACACCGAAAAAAAAAAAAAAAATAGCACGCTACATCCATTTATATTAAAAGCCAGGTAGAAATTTTTCTTTTCGGACGGGCTTCGCTCTTTTGCAGCGATCGAAATGAAATTTTGAAACCAGCGTGGCAACCAGCATTTCGGCTTCAAAAAAATTAGAATACAAAGGTAAAAGTCACGCTCGCCGAAAATTCTCAAAATCAGAACCTTTCATTTCGAAATATTGTCAGCGAAAAATATTTGAGAACTATTTATCTGCTTCTCGACGATTCGTGCCGCTCTACTCTTTCTGAATCAGAAGATGTACATTAATAAAATTTGTTATTCTCCGACAACTGATAATCGACGAGGCTATTACGGTACTGTACAATTTTTTACCAATTGACATTGTAAATTTAACGATACACGCATATATTCGGTGCTTCTATCATCTCACGTTTCACGAATTCATAATTCGGAAGTTGTTCCTTCCGTGACCAAAAAAAAAAAACGGATTCGGATGAATTTCTAATGGAACTCGACGCGGACAAAATCCCCGGGACAGAAATTACTACCCGGAAGTTATAGCACGGTCTTTATAGAACGTTAAGAACGCCGGGCGCCAGTAACTTTCATTTTAATTTGCAGTTTTTCCGATCGGAATTTACGACGCGGGGGCGGTGTGACGGTGCAAAACGAGCGCGGAAGGAGCTTAGGCGAATATATCTCGGCCGGGCTCGCTCGGCAAGAACCGTAACGTTATTTCGGATTTGGCGCAGTTTACGACGAGGCTCGATCGTTCCGCGTAGTTTTCTCTCTCACTCTCTCTCTCTCTCTCTCTCTTTCTCTCTCTTTCTCTCTCTTCCTCTCTGTCGCGACATTGCAGAATCGAATAACCGTTCCCATATCCGCTTAAAGCAATTTTTTGAGTGGCCCTGCGATCTTGGGATCGATCGCGAAAACAGTAACACCGTTATGTCGAAATCCAAAACGATCGTCGCTCTGCCATCCACTATGATATTCTTCTCTCCCTTCCTTCTCGTTTTTATTATTATTGACGTCGAACGAAAACAAAATTCTAAGCGAAAAAGATTTTTGTCACGCAGTGGATAGCATCGATATATACAGGGTGTCATGTAACTGGTGGCACTACAATCGGGAATCGTGGCGATTCTACATGAAAAACTGAATGAAAAGGATAGAATAAAATTTTTTTATACGAAGCTTTGTTTCATACGAGAAAAATGGCTTTGAAAGTTTATCGAGTGCGCGTGCACTTGATCAAGATTCAACTCAACGGATTTCGTTATTATCTCTACTAACATTTGTAAACATTCCCAATGATACGTACGCGAGGGCATAGAACGTCTACTTTTCACCAATTTTTTTTTTTAATTGTTGGAAGTGATGTCCACGTTCTTGCATGCATAACCGTGCTCTTCTTATTAAATTTCTACGAACATTTCCTGATGTGTTATTTTGCAGTTTCAACGTTGCAAACGCTCTAATAACTTTTTCTTTTAATCGTTCAACGTTCGCTATGTCGCTAGAATACACCATAGATTTAACATGACCCCATAAGTAAAAATCCAGCGGTGATCCGGAGATCGTGGTGGCCAACGTGTTCTTCCATTCCGGACGATCCAATATTGGTAGTTTTCGTTTAAAAAAATTTCTCACTTCACGACTGAAATGCCATGGTGCTCCATTTTGTTGGTAAATTAAATTTCTTCGAATTTCAAGAGGAATGTCTTCCAATAATTGAGTTGAATCTCGATCAGGTGCACGCGTACTCGATAAACATTCAAAGCCATTTTTCTCGTATGAAACAAAGCTTCGTATGAAACAATTTTATTCCACATTTTTTATTCAGTTTTTCATGTAAAATCACCACCTTTCCGCTTGTACCACCAGTTACATGACACACTGTATATACAATGTATTAATAATTTGCGACTCCAGTTATACAGAAATCACGTTCCGCTAGCACGGTGAGGATCCTTGGCGTTCTGCAAGTGATCGAAATTCATTTCGGCCAGTTAACGACTGTTCCAGAGCGTTTCGAATATGGCGGCTTGCTCGACATACAGTGGTAAAAGGTACCGGCGGACAAAACGACGCATCGGCTAAATAGGGTGATAGCGGTAAGGCAGACAGAAAACCATAGGAGGAGGAATAAACGTGGGCGCGGCTGGTCGTAACCTCGCTGATAAAGCATCGAATAGCTACGTTGGACGTATGCAGCCAACCTTCCAAAATAACGAAAAAACGAGGGAAATATCCGAGGCTGGTTTATCCGACTCGGATCCGGAGGGGGGAACGAATATTCCACGGCAGAAAATATCGTCGCGCTTAATCCGCAAACGATCATACGTACGCGCCAGCCGATGCAACACGCTGGAACGACAGTTACAACGGAATTCCGTTTGAAGAATCTCTCTGGCCGCGCCACTCCTCTCGTCTTAGCAAATCTGGGTCTCTTGCGTGTAATCAAATTTATTGAAACTTTTACCTCTTTTTTTTTTAGTAGGTATCCGTCGTTGTTTAAGCCCTCGTACGTACAGGGTTGTCTTTTTCTCCGATCGGATTGCCGACATTTGCATACCGAGCAAATTCATTTGAATTCAATTCGTCTGAATTGCTGAAAGTACGGCAGGAATTTTTGTGGGTTCGTACTAGAGAGAATTAAAGAAATATTTACGATTAGGTGATGTGATTTGCATTTTTGAAACGACTGATATTGCAAAAGAATTGGAAAAGTTTGAAAATAATGTATCGTAGGTTACAGAGCAAACGTTTGTAATTTATTGCTTTGACGTCTTTGTAATCTCTACACCAACATCTTGGTCCTTTGCGAATACCGTTTCTTAAACTCATATTTATTTGTAGGTGGAAACGTCTCTCGATATTTCTCCACAATATACAATATTTACTGTACCTACAATATCATTACTCGCGACGAAGTAAATGAGAAACATGCAACTTCTCGTGAATCTACTATTAACACTAATATACTATTATAACAAAAATATAGTTCCAAAGTTTGATAACACAGTAACCTAGCTCGATTTGATCATCCGTTTCAATCGGAGCAACTTGTAACAGTATTCATTTCTTACTCTCTCGTTCCTCGTATTTAACTCACGCCAGTGTACCAATTTTTATCTTTGGCTCCTTGAAACTTTTCCGCATTAATTATGTAAATCATCCGTACGACAGCAACGTGACAATTTTCAAAAAGTTTTCATTCGCACTTTCTGAACGCTGCAAAAAAAAAAAAAAAGAAAGAAAAGAAGAAACTGGCTCGTCCTTCTGACTGCAAAACTTTTCTTCTGTTACAGTGCCGCCGGAACAGCCGACCATCTTGGATCAGTGGGGCAGGATAGTGAACGGAACAGCGGGTCCCTACGAGGAGGGTGATACTCCTTCTCTAACGTGCCGTGTAACAGGCGGTAAGTCTAGCGAACTATTCGCGTGATACGCGAAAGTGTGGCGGCTGTGTTCTATCCGGCACCGGACCAAACTGTTGAAACGCTCTTCAAAGCACGGGAATAACTTTGGACTTGGCCACCAGCGGCCGAGAAGTTTCTATCCCCAAGATATACATCTGCCCCGGCTATTCCCCGTTTCACGAAAGTCGCTTAAATACAGCGAAACCTATCTAAGATTCGTGGAATTCGTTAAATATTCGCGGGTTCGTAATTCGCGTTTTAGGCGAGATCCTCCTATCCCGAGGCGTTTCTCTGAGATTTTACGCGTGCAAACACACGATTCGTCATTCCGTTTCTGTTTCGTTAAAATTCAGTCGGGCTCGATCCGGCAAAATTCTAATATATAATGATAATACTTATAAACGTTAATATATATAACAATTTATATATACTGATGTAATACTTGTAATTAAGGCAATAATAATTTTGTGTCAAATAAGTTGATTTAATACAGAATTTTGCAAAGGAACACCTACAATATTTAAATTTTGGACGTGGAAAGTTGATAATATAAGTCTCGTCGTATTTACAAAACATACTCTATTCTTTTGAAAATGATTTAGGTTAGATTTATTACATTTATTGGTCAAAGTTTGACTCAAATACTTCCTTAAACACTCAGGCTCGTAATTCGCGTTTAGAAGAAACTATTATTCGCGTGATCCTTCCAATTATTATACATTCTCGTTTAATTAAAATTATTACTTTGAATATCATTATTGATGCTTATTCTATGTAACGTATCAAGAACTAAAATTTTATATTCTTTGAATTCCGAAACGAATTCTCGAAACTTTCTTTCATAATCCCAATACCGAAAGAAATCGTTGAAACCAAAATATTGCATTGATCTTTAACACCGGAACACAAAACTTGGAGAAATTAGAATGCAACGATCAGGGAAGAGTTTGTAACACAACAAAGGGCACAAACTTTCGTTCGCACGTTTCACAAAAATCATCAAGATCCCTCGAAACACTCTAAAATCCGAGAAACTATTCGAGAAAAATCAAACTGGTCGATTGGTCAATTTTTCAGTGGTTCAAGGATCGAACGCTCGAGGAGGACGCGAGCGATTCACACACGCAGCCGAAGAATTTTCTCAAACTCGTTCGACGCGATTTTCAAATTCCTCGCGTGTAAACGCAAACTCGCCTCGGAACAAAACTTTCCCTCCCTCTTTCCCCGGTGTGTACCTGTGTCACTCGACTCCACGCGGGGATCGTGTTCGCGGAGTGGATGGTGTGTTCCTCGGATCCGGTCTTTAGATCGTAAGCAGAAGTTCGATCGGAATACGTTGAAAGGGAATGAAGAATCGGGGTAACCTGGCGATGGAGAGGGTAAAACGGGGATAGGAGGGGCGGAAGAAGAGCTGACAGAATCACCGGTGTCGCCAGTTATTAGATCAGGCAAGTTTTTATCGACGAAGGGAGCTAAGTGAAAAGTTCTACGTTCGGAAGAACGCGCGACACGAGAGGAAGTTCTTCTTCGCTAAGAGGAAGGCAGGCAGACGAAAGCGGAGAAGGACTGTGTGTGTGTATGTGTCTGTGTTTGCGTGTGGTAAAGCAGAAGAAGCGAGGAGCAGAGAGTACAGAGGATCAAGCGCTCGAGAATAGAACGAGAGGAGAAGAAGCACCAAACTACCAAGGTTCCGGTGTTTACTTTGGCAACTGGATCTAAATTTCTGTTTATAACTGCGGCAACTTCTTCGGCTGCCTTAAAAGATTATTTCTTCCCCTCTGGCCCTGCAGCCACTTTTCCATCTTCCCCCGGAGCCAGTTTCCCTCCCAGACCGTGGAAGACCGCTTCCTTGTCATTCGCTCTCCGATTAAACGCGGTTACGTACCGCCGAACGACGGTTTTTGCATGATTATCCTCCGTCCTTCTCTTACTCCAACTTCCAGCGAATAGCACCGGTGTTATCAATAACTTTGTTGCGGCTGCCCTCCGCTCTTTCAGATTTTAAACTTCGAGGATTCGTGTTTCGGCTCTTTGCATAACGGTCGATTTGTTTCTTTCTTTTTCTTTTTTTTTTTTCTCGAAAATAATTTGAAATTCACAGCGATTCAGATCGAATGGGATCTATGAAGGTTAATTACATATGCTCATCGTGAAAACCATAGATACATTAAAATGTCATTACGATAAATTAAATGTTACTGTACAGATTTTCGCGAGATCACGTTCGATTAATTTGTATGTTATTTTAAATAATCGCAAGAGACATTGTCAGCAGTTCAAGACTGATGTGATTTTAATAAACAACTTCGAATATTTGAAATTTTGATAAACGTTAAGTAGAATTTTTTGACCGACTACACGTATAGATAAAATTTTTGTTCAACAAATTGAGTGATCCTTTAGTATCACGACACGTGACACATAACATACAACTTGAAATTATCGAGAAGCCTCAACTGGTTCTTTTTCGACTTTCACGGTAACAAATTCTCATTTCTCGCTTCTGCGAATCAAACATATGTTATCTAAACATTTCCTAATAAAAAAAATTCCGTTTCAACTGCAATTCTTTCTCTCCCCTGCTGCGAATATAACACACTGAACACATCACGTGAATACAATAATTCAACGTTAACGCAACATTGTGAAAAACCGAACATTGCCTTAACATTACAATATATAACAAAATCTTCATACGTGGTGTAAAATTCGTGTTACAATTCGCATCGTCCTGTTATCTCTACGTGACAAGGCATGGACCAGAAAAATATACCAGAATAAAAATTTTTCTAAATGAAACGAAAAAAAGGATTGATGCCGCTACTCTTCTTCCAGTCGTGTCATCGCCCGTTAATTATTTGCCAATAGTAAATAACGAAGAAACAAAATAATCGCGGCGATCGTTGAATCGCAGCAAAAATACGAAAATCGTTTCGCACATCCGACATATACGTATATATATATATATACATATATAGCAAACTGGATAACTATGGTACAAATACAGCGGCGTACGATGACGATTCAATACTCATCGTCGATCCCAACGTTCGATGAATACATCGAAATTCGAAGCCAGGAATACAGCCAGGTATGCAGATTCGTTGGGAATTGCATCGACGCTGCGCATCGATCATACGCATTGCGGCGTATAAATTGAATATCGAGAAGATCGGCTTATCCTTAACAATACGCTGCTCTGGAACCCCTGCAAACGATCCGGGACACCCACAAACCGTGGGAGGTGGGGGGAGGGGAGTCTAAAATTTTCATTTAATTGTAAATCGTCCTTAAACAGGGGAAAAGAAAATCTAAGTCTCTCTGCCTCTCTGTTTCTCTCTCGGTGATTCTCTCGCGGAGTTTCCAATGAAATATTCACCTCTTCCTGTCGCTGTCCTTTTTCTTCCTTTCTTCCTTTTTTTTTTTATTTTTCTTTTTTTTTTTTATTTTTCCGGCGAATAGTTAGAGCATCTGAAATTTATGCTCGAACCCGCGAGAGGACGAGGTGTATCGGTTCTCGATATCGTTTCCCGTTCACACAAAGCCATCCGTCGAAATTTGCGGCAGAAAATTGTCGATGTTTGTTCGATTTTCATAGGAAACTTTCGCGATATCTCGTTCCTCTCTCTCTCTCTATCTCTCTCTATCTCTCTTTCTCTCTTCACGACGTTTCTGTTTCACGTTCGTTCGTCACTCGAGTAAACCACGACCGCTCGTGCTGTCTCGCTTCTTAACCGACGCGACGCGAGGCTCGCGATAAGTTTCTGCCGCCATTTTGGTTCCCGCCGCGTGGCCACGGCAAAGATTTGCAATTCAATCGAAAAGCCGGGAGGTCGGAAACGCTGGCCGCCAATGCGAAATTACGCCTGGGTATACTTTGCCGATTAAATGTTAATGCGCGCGGCCTCGACTTTCGCCCGTTCCCCGCGCGTCGCAAGATCCGCGGAGAATCGCCGACGCGGGTTATTTACGCTGGGAGAAAAAGAAGAGAACTGGCGACGATACCACGGACAGATCCGATTATTCAAACGAGACGTCATGAAACGCCGATCTCCCAGTGCGCCAGAGGCTAAAATGTGGCGAGGATTCGAAATTTCCTGGAAACTTTCTGCAAGTCAATAATAGAGGAACTAATCTCGCGATCGCTGACAATGAATCGTTGAGAACTGCTTAAAACTGTTCGTTAGATTCGTCAGAAATCGTTAAAGATATCAAAGACACTAAGAATTCAGAATTCAAGATGACGGATTCAATATTGCACGACACAATTAAGTGTTGAAAGGTGAAGAGGTGACAATCGGCAAAGGTAAGGGGAATATTGACAAGGGAACATACGAATGTAATTGACAACTTTTATGAAATACAGTTGTTATAAAAATATTTAGTACGCACTTCTTTCATCGACATTGTCAAGGGAGTAGAAACTACACCCGACGTTGGATCTATGGATTGTACCGAGTATTTCAGAAAATTATCAGAAAAGAACAATAAATACATACGTTGATAAAATTAGCATTAATAACGACAAATTCTGTAAACCTATTTTGTAAAATACAAACGTTTGAACATTCTACAACAAATACTTGCAACAGTTAATTTCACTGTGAATCTCTGGATTTTCTCTTCAGAACATCACCGATCTGTTCGATCGAACAAGTTGTCGAAAGCATCATCGAACGACATTCCGAATGTTTGGAGCTTCAAAGTGTAAAGCCACTTTACGGGAAAAACCATTTTTTTCCCCTTCTTTTTTTCGAAATATATAACTCGAAAAATTTGATTCTAGTCACTTTTTCTAGTCATCCACTCGCGGAACATCTCGTGAAAAATTTGCCAAGTGCACGTTTCATTGCCAGCTTATTCGCGTCGTCTGCGTATAGGCACTCCTGTTTGGAATTCGATATCGATTTTCGTCGAGACAGCCGTTTCGCGCGGCCGGTTTCGCGGCGGGAATCGGAGAAACTTCGCCGTTTGGCCGTAGAGAGAGAGAGAGAGAGAGA